GAGTGAATGCATGCAGGGAAGCTAAGCATCAAGGCTGGACAACAAAAACTAGTGTAATTTCTTAAAAATAATTTTAAAGTACACGCTAATTACGGTACTTCTGATGCTGAAATTTAAGAATATTTTCCTGCCAAGGGAAAGCTTTCCATTTCCTTACTAACCACTAATAACTTCTCCTTTTAAAAACTGCATTCTGATGCTTGAAGGATACTGTATTTTTTTTAAAGATTTCCTCTATTTTCCAATGTATCGTATTTCTATTCCACAGGCCCACGCTGTTAGCAATGAGTGTTGCAAAACAGAAATATTACCCAATAGTTATTTGTTAAAAAGGTCAAAGAAAATTTCGACCCCAAACGGGAACAAAAGCTGTTTTTTAATAAATCGTATCAGAAAAAAACCCACAATTTTTGTAAAGTCTGATCCTCTCCTACGGCCACTGATAAATAGTTATAGGAATGTTAGTCTACGTTAATCTCTGTTTATATGGGTTTGCAACAATACATAGTACACACTGAACAGAACAAGTAAAACTTCAGTTTCCAGTGTATAATGAATTTTAGTCATTTAATAAATTTTAGTTTTTATTTGCGTATTCCACTGTAGTGCTGTGACAACAAATCACATCTGTGTACCAGAGCATACATCAACAGTATGATGTAACTTTACTTACACCACTGCTATATTTAGCTTTTTGAAAGAGACATAAGCATACACTATGGCCACATGAAATAATTTTCTGTTTTTTTCTTTGATAACCTTCACTTTGCCAGTAATACTTCACTTTTAAAATTTGAATTGTTGAAAAAAATCACAAAAAAAAATTATACAGGAATAGCTATAAGGAATAACCTCACAGGCACTGATATGACAAACATTTATTTTAAGGGCTGAGAGGCATTGACATCATATTGACAAAGTTGACCGAAAAGGATGACTAACTTTGTCTAAATGGGAAATGCCCACTTCTGCTCCTATCTCGAGAAAAGAAATTCAGAAAGTTATTTTTTGGCCTTGCTATATCACAAAGTCAATCATACAAAGACCTACGCATTTAACCTAAAATAATAGTTTTAAAAGCCCTTCTATTAAAAACAAAAACATCATGCAAACTTTGATCAATTATGCAGCTGCTTTAAAACTGTTGCAAGACCATACTGTATATATTAGCTTTTATACTGCTAATGCACAACTAACAGCAAACTTCATTAGATTAACACAAATTTGTCTTAATTACACCGTTATATCACACTAAGGAGACAAATGCCACAAGATTGGCAAAACATTTAATTCTGAGCACTCAAATGGCAGGATAATTATATGTTGTAACCCCTTCACATTTAGAAAAAAACATAATCCTGCAGTCTCACTTTACAAAAAAAAAATCTGTAAAATATTAATCGGGAGGGGAACAGTTGATACCATCTAACACAAAGTAACTTATACAGCTAGTGTCAAAGGCAAACAAAAATCTTTCTAAATAAAATGTCAAAATACACATAGCAACAGAAGCACAAATGCTGCATTAAATACAGTCAGGATAAGAAGACAACGCGCTTGTTAATAAAAAATGACAAAAGAAAAAGAAAGTTACTAAAGTTAGCAACACAGTTAAAGAAATTGCAATGAGGGAAAAAAAAGCTCAAACTTTCCCCCCCCCCTCCAATGACAAGAGAGTTTCCATTTGTAGCCTTTCCATCCATAATTTGTCTATACAGCACATCCTTTAAAACGTTTAGAACCTCACAGAAGAGAGGTTGTTCTCTTCCAAACCTAATTCGCAGGTGGTTTAGGATGTTTTAAACCAGACATTATTATGAATGAAATAAGAGCAAGGCAACAAATGGACTTTTATCGCCTTCAATTTTAGCACTGATGACTAACATTTTTAGAAATTATCATAATCTTTTTTATCTTTTTTCCCCTCGGCTTCAAATCCATCAACCCCATCACTGTCCCTTCTCCTTTTACGATTGTTATGGATGTTGAAGCGTTGATTCATCTGCGGTAATGGATCCATTCCCAAAACTTTGTGTATTTGACGGAATGCAAGGAGTCGCAGTGCAAACTGTAAAAAATGCAGAAAGAAAATATTTCTATTAGAAAGACATGTTAATTCTGAAGACTGAACTATATYCTCCTGAAACATGGAAAAATCACATTTTTAGTTTAAAAAAATCATTTTTATTAAAAATAACTGCTTTCAACTTCAGTTACTTAATATCTTCCTTACCTGTGCACTCGAAGTAATATCCTCTCGTTGTTGATCTGTCATGACAGCAAGTGTATCAAAAGGATCTTTCTCACATGGATCCAGAAGGCCAGGACCACCTGCAATAGTTAAGCTCATTAGCAGTATCTCGACCTTCTTTTAACCAAGACTACAAATTTTCCATTAGTTAAGCCTTAATAGGCAGGTACTGAACAAAGGCAACTTGCCTTTAAGGATAATTCCTGAAGATATACACTCAAAAACTCTTCTCAGTGCATCCCCAGGACTCTGTGGCCCGGTAGCGCTGCTGATTGCCTTCTCCACAAGCAGCTCCATCGCCTGCACCAACAACAAGAAAATGCACCTAGTTTCAAAGCCTGATTACAGCAGGAAGCAGCTGCCACTGTTGCTTAATACAGAACTTTGGATACAAGAATTTGACCATGCATACAAACATCATAGAACAATTTCAGTTAAAAAGGAAAATGTTTTAGAGAGGTGAGTACAGAAAGATGCAAAGCTGAGTACTATTACTGATACGCCTCTTTTCATCACCAATCGTTTAAAATGTTTTGTAGAAATCTATACAGGAGTAGCCTATATATGCAGGTTGACAACACTGTGAGACAGCATGGAACATGGCGGGTCCCCTGAGCGTCAGCTACACGGACAAACAGCAGCACACAGCATATCCYATTAAATTAACAGCACATGACACAGAAACTTAAGGCCTGGGAAATTCAATGATCGCTTAATGCTCAGTCTGAATAATCAACAGTGCTTCCGTTCAGCAAAACAAGTTGACTGCAATTTTTTTTCCCCAGGTGCAGGCTAACACTACCAATACCTGTACGTTAAAACACACATAGAAAACCTTGTTGATAAACAGGTTCTCTAAAACTTACCTATCATTTCATATTAAATAAAATGTTACACTGATAAACTATACTTTAAATAATCAATTTTCAGTATTCCCACTGTTTTTGTTAAATACTTACTTTTTAAAAAATATTTGCAATAATAAAGAAAACTTTCCCTCCAACACTAAATTGATATTTCATTATCACCTCCTTGCTAAGTTTCATTTTCAAACAATCTCCCTGTTTGTTTCTTCTCCAAAGTTTACATTTCTTCAATGTTGCTTTTTACTTTTATTTTCTAAGAGCACATGTCCATTCTGACACATTCAAGTAACTGTGGGCAGTGTTAATTACAATCCTTCATTAAGGATGTCCATTTCTTTCCATTTAAGATCCATTTACCCGACAAATTTTAATTTTAAGCATGGCATTTCCACATTCCCACTTTATCACTCAGGCTCAAATGCTTGCAGAAGTAATTTAGTTCTTTCCAAGCATGAAGCTGAACAATACATTGAAAAGGCCTCTTATTTTTGTGTTTGCTCGAATTCTCCTTTGGATTCTAACTGAACACACTACAGTCTGTAACTTACTATGAGGAAGATGCCAATTACAGTGCTCTGGTGTCTATGTGCATGTARCTTCAACTATAATAAAACCAAAATAATAAAAAAATCAACCTTGTAACCTTGAATAGTGGTTCCTAATACCTTAGATACTTGACAAAATTCCTCTACATGACTTTTTAAGCGTGCAAAGAGGGTGATACTGAGCACTTCTGGAGAGAAGCTAGACACAGCGCGAGCTGGCACTGTCCTTCCCATGTCCCTTCCCTTCTGAGCCTGCCCTACAGCAGGGAAGGAGAGGAATAGCAAAGGACACCCCTTTTTCTTCATCCACATGGTTGCCTGGTAAAATACATCATCTCTTGAATATTATGCCTTGCATAGCATGCATTTGAGCATGCATTACCTTGTTTTCCACAGGCCTTTCTCTCAGTGACTAAGATGGAGAATTAGAAAATACTCAGTGCGAGATATTCACCAGCTGGGTCTGAGTTCTGCTATTTGTTTCAGGCTCTGGTACTGGGCAGAGAAGCTATCAGTACACTACAGAAAACCTGTATTTGCTAACTTTAAAAGCATCTCTTTATACAACATCAAATCACTGTCCTTCAGTAAGTAGTAGCTAAGATTTTTTTTATCGTTTTCTAATCTAAACCAATATCCTTGAAGCTTACTGATCAAAAGCACTGGTAAGTTGTACTCACAAGAACAGCAGAACTTAATGACAGTAGTACAAATTTCATATGTAAGGAAAAACASTGTGACTGGCAACACAACCCAGCTGCAAGTTGACTATCCCCAAATATTACCCTGCTCGATTCACTGTCTCCAGTCCAGTCAGCCTCAGATTTGCACCCAGAAAACCATCTGCTTGTCTCAGAACAGCAGATCTGCCATAGCAATAAAGTGCATCCAGACTACGTTAAGGAGTGGAATGCAAGAGATCCATATGCACACACATTGCACATGGACAGAGTGACTGTATTCCCTGGAGTCTCTGGGCGATACAGTCTCTTACAGACTATCAGTAACTGCACAGAAGTCCTAAAGCGTAACAACAGTCTCCTCCTTGACCTTCCACATACATAATTTTAAATCATTAAAGCTTTATTCTTTGTTTTCACATGTAATACCTATTGAAAGTTGTTAAACAGTAACTCTCACCACCACCTTGTGCAGAGAGTAAAGACAACTTGATGCTCAGCAATAAAGGGACTCCAAGGAGTCTCAGTCCGCACTGCTTCATCTGACATGTTGTGAGGAAGCACAGGAGGAAACTGAATGGCCTGTGTCCCTCTTCCTGCCGCAGCCAGGCACATCACTGGGACTTTTATTTCTCTCTTAAGACCTTGTAGACACCCTCTGCCACCTGAAAGGCCATCCTATTTTAGAGTAGTTTTAAGGATGCTCTTCTAAAAGTACGCTGGGSTCTTTGCTTTGGAGATTCCCAATCATGAAGGCAACAAAAAGGGCACTTCCGTATTTCTCCCTTCTTTTTGGCACACTGCATCTTTCAGGTAACGTAGCGTATAAACTGGCATTGCATGTTACCCACATTAAATATTTAGAAAGCCAAAGTGCAACTGTTCTACTTTTTTCCTTTTCTTTTTTCTCCCTTCAGAAGAAATAAATGGTAGTATCAGAAACAATAAAATTCTCTGCAAGCCTAATGCATTTGTAAAACTTATTTCTCACTCAAACACTGACCACTGGAACTCTGCTCTTCCTACCAAAAACTAGAGTCTACCTTGACAAGCAGCATGGTGCAGCAGATTGCATCTGTGAAAGAGAGTATTCTTTTTTTTAGCATAGTCAATGGAAAAGAAAAGCTCCGAGAAGTTCAGTCACAAGAACTGAGAGTAGTAGATGGGAACCAATTTGGGAATCAGCTTCCAAGTGATACGAAGCAAAATATTCATTTGGAGACATTTTTGCAGAAGGAAAACCTTAATGACTTAAGAACTCCTGAGGCTTGATCTTTRAAGTAGCACCTCTGCTCTCACAGAGCTCTCTAGGTGTATTTCACACATCATGTTTTATTTTTCTTTTTTAGGTTCAGCAGAGTCCAAACAATTCAAAGGTGATTAGAAACAATTACATTCCCTTACAGAAAGGAAAAGGTGTTAAACAGTAGAATAAAGATATACAAAGAATTAAAAAGGAAATAAAAATTCCTTCGGAAAAAGAAATGTGACTTCAAATGACAAAACTCCAGAAAAATAAATTAAATTGATAAAGGGACTCTAGATCCTTTGCTATATAAAAGCCTTCATTACTTCTTGAATGAGTCTTCACTTGAAAACTGCAGCAACACTTTCCAGCTCTCTACTCGCACTACTATGTGTTTTAAAAAGGTGCATTCAAAGAATGTTACTCACCCAGCTTGGAAAATCAGACCAAGTTGGAACTCGCTGACAGAGGTCACGAAGAATACGTATGATAATCACACAGGACTGCAGACCGTTAGCTCTAGCCTTGAGAGCGACACAAAATCAAATTAATTAATCCCAGCCCCGACAGCAAATCGGACTTGTTGAAAGACTAAAACACCACTGTTCAATGGAAGCTCAGATGCAAGATGGAAACAAATCATTCTATAACCTTATTCCTTGAGCTGCCATTTACAGCAGTATTTTATACAGGGTTAGTAATTTAAGGTGGTAGAAGTCAAAGTGCACAGGTTATACAAGAACAACATTTCTTGATCCCCTGTACACTTTGACCTGTGGTCGCTTGTAACAATAAATACAGTATCTTTCTATATTAGAAATAAAAAGGATAAAGTAAAGGTCTAAGAAGTAGGTATAGAGACTGAAAGGTCAAGGAAAGCTGTTTGGTTTCTTTATTGTGCCTTTGCCAGAATGCAAAGTCACTAAACCAAACAGTTGCTTCTCACCTTTCATTCCCTACACTTAATGCACTTAAAGAAATAGGAAAAAAAAAGTCTTAAATCTAAACACAAAGCTTTAAACACATATTCCATTATTTAAAGCAAAGTTACTCTGCAGCCTTATGGAATATATAACAAATATACAACATATGATCACCCCAAGCGAGTCAAGCTTTCAATGTCGYCTTCTCAATGACCAGAAAAAAAAAATCATGTCAAATCCGCTGTAACTGCATAAAGCAGTTCCTCCATACTCAACTTTCTACAGTCAAATTTAGGGACCAGGAAAATCTTAAGGAGTATTAGCATGAACAACACCGAGTGTTTTCTCACAGATAAAACATTTATATTGCAACTGAGCTAATCTCTCATAAGGCTACAAGAAGAAAGTAAAATGATGTTCCGAACCTGGAACCACTTAGCGTGGCGTAGAGCAGCCAGAGCGTCAAGGCATTTTTGCCTGTCCAAGACGTCCGGTGGGTCTTTCACCATACCCGAGGTTACATCTAAAATGGATTGAATTGGCAAAATGCAGTGAGGAATGGGTGTTTGACCAGGTGAGCAAGACACTTCCTTAAAGTAGCTTCAGTGTCACACATGCCATTTCAAGCTTAACTCCTTGACCGACAAATGCAAGTGTTCAGTAACATCCATTTAAATATGAGGAGGGCATCAACCCAGGTTCAAGATTAAGAGCGTAATATACTTGAGCTCTCAGAGTATTATCAAATGCATTGCAGATTATGCAATACGTGGAGCTTCTTTATTTAAATCTAAGGCTGGAAATGCAAGTTTCCCCTAAAATTAAATACTGAAGGAAGGATGGTTGGACACAGTGCACCAGCACAGAGAACACAAGACAGAAGGAACACAAAAATCCACTTTAACTTAGTAGAAACATTCACTTGGTTTGCTGTAAATTTAAACGCTCATGTGTTATTTAGGACCTTGTCCTAAAAAGATAAACTAAGTATAACAAATCTTAAAAGCGCTCAATGTTTAGTAGTGGTGTTATTTTTGTAGTAATTTAATCTTAAAATGGAAACGATTTTGCTTTAAAGACTGACTGAAGGAATGTTAAATGTTCTTCAGCAGGAGAGATCTATCACCTTCTAGAGCTTATATATCCTAAGGATATATCCTTATATATCCTTTAACTCGTGTTTATCAGTACCTCAACCCATGATCTGTACCTCAACCCATGATCTGTGTGATCCAACATTACTTAGGATGCAAAGAAAGCTGCAAAAGGGGGCTGTTTTACTTAAGATTCAGCATGAAAAAGAAAAGCAAGGAATAGTTTAAAAATAAAGCAGAATGCCTGAAGGAAAGAAAATATACTAGACTTTGTATATTCAAATCTCCAAAAAAAAGGGGCTGAAGATACCAAGCCCAAGTCACATTCCACTGAATGAAAGAGATCAAAAGCCCTTTTGGATGTGGTTTAATCAACGAAACAAGAACTACTAAACAACCAGAAACTCTATCTTCAGGTACTTAAAAATGCATTATATGCATGAATGCAGTGCTAAGCTTTAATTTCCTTTATATTTATAGATATTTATTTTGGTATTTATAAAAATGACTGTTGTGACTAGGAACAAAGTCTTCTGGCCGCATCATCGGGGATGCACCAGGCAGAGACACAAACTGAAGGCCTCCCACAGCGGCGCTCCCTCCACACGAGTGGGTTGATGAAGCACTGCAGTTTACTGGAGTTAAAAGGCAAATTCATTAAATAAATATTTATTTAAAAGCCAAGAGAATCAAGGTTTTTAAAGGCATACTGAGGCTAGTGAAAGCCACCAACAAGGAGCAGCTTTTAAGGATGCTGCTGAGAGAACGCTCTGGAGGCACCTATCTATGTACAAATATCAAATAAATTAAAGCAGGCTACTTGAGTATACGAAGAGCTAAAAAGCTATGAACAAAGACAGTGCTGTAACTTTGCAACGTAATGATTAATTTTTTTCTAAAATACTACTATTCAGACTTTTTGCCCTCTTTTTAAAATAAAATAATTTTTATTGCTTGGCATAGGGCTAAAAAATAGTCCATCTTCTCATACAGATATTCAAATTATTGTTAAAGTGGAATGAAGAAAAACTGCACTAACAAGGCACTTACAGACCAAATGAAGACATTTAAAGTGGTTATTTCATTCAAAAAAATAACAAACCTATCCAAGAGCAGTGCCAGGTAAGATAACCGATGAAACGAGTACAACTTGAATATAAGAGACAAGGAATACACTCAGAGAAACCCACAGCAAGAATACAGTGGCAAAGTAGGATTGAGAAGTTAAACAAGAACATGGGTTTGCTGGGCCTAGTAGCTTAAGCAATTATTTAAATTTGTCTAAAAACTAATGTGCAAATGGGTGACACTCAATCTTTTCACACCATAATTTGCTATGTAATTTGAGATGCCAATTATTCGACCTCTACCTCTAAAATGTTTTATTTTGGAAAATATTTTTTACCAAAAAACAATTACAGTGTAAGTGCACAGAGGACAAGTTTCCTCAGTGCTGGAAAGGGAGCTTTGAAATGTGCTATTAGCAATAGAAATCATAGGAAAAACCCTGAAATTTAAACACACTGTGAAAGCTGGAAGTTGTCAAGGCACCTTTTGCACCTAGAACAAATTTACTAAAAATTAACGGAACTCCTGTAAATTTTAATCTGTGGATTTTTGCTTCAGTTTCACATTTCAGGATTAACCCCTTAAGGACTATTTAACTAAATTCAAACTCCTAACCTGCAACCCTCTTAAGTCAAAAGCTAAATTAATTTACAAAGCTCAAGTGCAAATTCTCCTATAGGACTGAATAGTATATATACTATACTAGGACTCCTATAGTTCCTATAGGACTGAATTTATTGTTAACCTAAAGATAAGGGGTTAATCTGCAGTTAGACATGCTGTGTCCACACTACTTCTTCATTAAAAGTTAACAGGTATACCAAATTTGTTAAGTTTTATTATGTGAAATACACGTTACCCAGTCAACTATTTCAAAACTAGTGTGAACACTGCTTAAATCTAGGAGAGAGACAAAGACGGAAAGGGAGGAAAAAAAAAAAACAAAAAACCAAAAATAACACAAAATAACAGCAGATGCCAGGACTATGCATCCAAACCCCCTCCTTTGGGAAGCATGGCAGGTGTGACACTGAGCTTTAGAAAACCTTGGTCAAAAATCCTTCCGATGTCTTGGCAGCAACCCCTGACAGGAATCAAGTCCCTCTGCTAGAAGGCTTTGGACCGGGGCTGTTAGCTAAGGATAAAAAAATAATAAAACACACGCGCACACATAGATGTGTTTAGAGATATATACATTGTRCTTGCTGAAGGAAGGATTCCACAGCAGGGGTTAGAGCACTTTGAACATAWCCGATTGAGGCAACTGTCAAACGCACAATACTGTAAGGAACAGTAGCTATGCGCTTAACAGTTTTAGTTTACACTGTATTTTTTTTAGTCTTTTATCATGTAATGGTATAATGACACGTYGAACGTGATTCTACCCCATGTGCAAGTCTCAGTCTTGTCTTTACTCAAACTGGTTCTTCCGGTAAAGCCTTCCTTATCTCCTGAACTGGCTCCCCAAGCGAGCTAAAAACCCCCCAAAACTTTAAACCATTTTAAGACACAGAGCATCAGAATCTGCAGTAAGAAAGGAGCACAAACCCACGCTGTTACAYTGCTGCAAATAAGCAGTAACCTTCATAATAAAGCCTTCTTTGCTGCAGTCATTTGCAGCTCCGTCATCTATTTTCCTCTAGTTTCCAAAGCAACTTTTCTGCACATCTGTTTTATACTGCTCAGTGTCTTGAAGAGAAATCTAATTTGATTTTGCTTGCCCAAAGGCAGTACTGCATTCAGCAGTGAAGAAAGTCAGAATATATCATTTTAACTCAAGGGTGGGTCAGACAAAAATACAATTTGTTTCCTTTAGGAGACTTGAATTAAGGGATTGTTTGTAAGCATTTAAGATTTGTTTTTACTGTAGATTAGAGAATTTTAYGCCAGAAACAAGTTCATTGAAACTGCAGGAATCTGTACTGTAGCAGGAATCAATATTGCACCTTTGCACAGTACATAAAGAAATAAACACAACGTTTAAAGTTACCTTCATTAAAGGGTTAATCTAATTTAATAATCAAATCTGTTAAGTTCAAGTATGACTTATGACTTTACGTGATATGCCAAGCCTGATTCAGCAGACACAAACCATTTTCCTCTTATTTTTGTCAAAAGACAAGCAGAACTGGTTGGGTGTGACAGTTCACGTACAAAGTGTTTATAGCTATGAATGACACATGCAGCTTAAAAATCACATACAGAGCACTCCCGAGACTTTTCAGAAGTCATCCAAACTCGAGAATGCACCTGGAAATTTTGTTTTCTGATCACACAGGACGACTTGGGTAACACTGCGTGCTTATGATGCACAGTGACGGAACGTTTACTTGCGCACTACAAAGCCTCGGGTATTTTAGAGGACATGTAATGATGAGATGAAATTAAAAAAAAAGGTCTGTGGCTTCTAGAAATACGTATACAGACAAGCACATGTATACATGCACACATACAATTTTTCAACCTGCATATGAGAAGTGTTAAAGTGATAGCCTCGGATTTCCTATCTGCAGGTTCATAGTCAAACACCAGAACCTTGTCTGCCACCATCTCTTTCAACTATGAAGATATAGAATTAAAAAGGAAACAAAACTTAATTTTATCTGACCCATAAACAAAAAGAACCAATGTACTGCAAACATTAATCATGCTTGTTGGCTTAAAAGCTTTTGGAGCTTTGAAAGTGTTACAGAACAGACCCTAAAGCAACACTGCTGGCACCAGAGAAATTGTGTACTTCAGGAATGAAAATGGATTTACAAGCTCCACCTTCTGCTTCAGCTCAATGACAAAGTCATTTCTCATGGTACTATTCTGTTACTGATTATCATTCCAGGAGCCTAAATATACTCAAAAAGTACTCCAAACCAAAGGGCAACCTCAGAGAGCTGGAAAAAAAAAATCTGCTTAAAAGTCAGAAGCACTGGTACCATAATAGTATTATACAAGCACATTTTAAGTAGTACTGCCATTTGGAATGTGCTAGTGATAGTAACAGTGATCCAGTGTAAACCCCAGAACCTGTGATTCGGTTTGCTAAAAGCATCAGTCTTTCTCTTAGGGCAAGACTGCTCTAGAAAGCCACTGGCTGCAAAGTATTTACTTTTCCACATAATTTTATAAGAGGGGAAAGTCAAGTTTGGACCTTTTCCAGAAAGCTGAGGTTGGACATAAAGGTAGAATTAAAAAAATTAATATTAATAAATGCATCGCATAAGCATTTATTCTAATAAACTGTTCTCTACTAAAACTGGTTCCTGAAAAACAAGGTTTCCATCAAATAAGTGAACTGTGCCAGCATGTTGCCTTCCAGGACTTAATGCCATCATAAGCAGAATAGATAACGTATGAAAATGGGTAACAAAGAAGCAACATCTTTAACAACTTCCCAACCTCCATCCCTCATGTTCTCCTCCCGAATGACTGGAGACGTCAGTGTGATAGTAACTTGCATTTTGGGTTCCACACATGAATTTAGAATTATTGCTGCTTCTGGTACCGCACACTTGATATCATATTTCTCAGGACTTATTACCTAAATATTGAGAGAGAAATTTTGTTAGCATTTCATAACAGTCACCAAGCATGCAAAAGGAAAAAAAAAAACCACTAGAAAGGAAATTTATATATAAACTAAAAAAATCTTGACAGTATTCAAGCTTACAATTAAAAACCTTTTAAAAAAGGAGAGACTCAGAGCCACTTGAAATGTCCGCTGGGTATGTTTCTCCAAAAAGCACAGGAGCCTTTAAAAAGYACAGAGCTGCAGATTATTCCCTGATTATTCCCAGGCACAGGGTACTCCTAGATGCCATCCAGCCTTGAGTGCCACAAGCTCCAGTGAGAACAAGGGCAAGGCAAATAGCAGGGGACAGCGCAAACCTAACAGGGCAGTTAGGCTGAGGCTGCTTCTTAAAACCAGATTTAACAGTTCCACATACCCTTAAGAGAAAATTGTAGGCACTTGTCACCTCTTTCCACAAACTAGACGGAGAAGCAGTTTCTCCAAAAAGCATTTTTAAATTTTTTTTATTTAGCTTTTATACTTTGAACAAGAGTCAAATTAATAGTATTGTCTAGTCAATCTGTGCCTGCTAATGTTTATACCATACCACTGATTTTGCCAGGCATTTTACTGCGCTGTAACAAGACAGTGAAGGTTTGGCAAAACTTTTAACCACGGTGGACAGGCTTTTTATAGTAGCAAGTAATGGAGAAAAAAGCTTTCTTCTGTACTCTCCTTTCTTGTGGAGATAAAACAAACGGTTTATAAAAATTCAAAAGAATCTAATCTCATGAGTTTAAGACTGCACAAGCTTTTTTTTTTTTAAGATAAAAATTAAAAAATGTTACAAATTTTGCTTTAACTTAATTGTGAATATMAACATGCTGACAGGTATAAATTGGAAAAAAAATGACAGAAACTAGCATTAACAGAGGAGTGACCTTCAGGCAGCAAGTCTCCTGATACTGCTGCAACAATACACAAGCTACTTCAGTTTCTGGTCATAACTGTCAGAACAAAAGAAAGTACCATTTGTGCTGATTTCCATTTTCTGATTAAAGAAATTCTATTCAATAGCAACTGATACTAAATCACTAACATAAATACCTACAAACTTGGGAACCAGATCCCTTTTACATACAACGTACAGGGAGCAAAACACACAGCATGGTCACTGAATGCTGATGGAAGCATCCAGGAAATGAAAACAAGTTACTGGGCCTGAGCTATGAAACACAGTAGAGTCAGCCCTGCAGACAAGCTTTTACAATACCTTTCTAAAGATCTAAATCCCAAACCTAAACTCTACTTACTGCAAGTTGTTTGGGAAGACTTTCCGCAATACGGCTGAGTAAYGTCTTTGAAGGCTTCTCAGCACACAGCAAAACAAGATTGACGTTGCGGTCTCCACGGAGCAGCAACCCTTTAGCCAGAACGCCTACCCGTAAAACTCCTTTCAAAGCTCTGTGAAGTGAATTGACAGTTAAAAGTTGCATTTAAAATATTTTTTAAATGCTTCTGAAAATAAAAAAGTGAAATAAAACAGCGTATTCCACATACTCTTGGGGCCACAGTGGCACATCAAAAACGTTACCAGAGCAGAATCTTTGAAAACACCAAGGGTGGTGCAAGGAAAAAACATAAGCAGTTCAGAAACAAAAGATGGAAATTCTTAAAAGAAAGAATATACACACCTGTCTTTACTGCCATCTTTCTTATCATCTCCCTCTTTGTTCTTGCTTTTTTCATGGTCAGTCATGTTGTCAGAAACGAGTTTCAAAGCACGCTCAGTAATAGAAACAATTTTTTGGACTGCTTGAAGTTCCTCCTCTGTTGGATATATTGCTGCGTGCTTGGTCATCACGTAGCGGTCATCAGAGGAGTCTGGCCGGCGTAGAGGCTACATGGAGAAAAGCATAACTGAAATCTGTGTGTCCTTGGAAGGTCACAGCTCAGATAACCCTGCCCTTAGTATAAATATCTAACATCCTTCTGTTCATTGGGAAATAGCTGTGTAATTATTCATTGAGGCAAACTGAAGTGTCCATAACTGCTTTTAGGTAGGAGGGACCTCAGGAGGTCTCTTTTCCAACCTTATGTGTAAAGCAGGGTCAGCTATGAGACCAGATCCAGTTGCTTAGCGTTTCACATCCACTCTAGTGTTGAAAACTTTCAAAAGACAGACCTCTCTGGTGCAGCCAAAGAGTCAACCTCTCTGATGCAGCCAAAGCCTAATGTCTCTGTCATCACAGTGAAAACATTATGTCTTGTATTTTGTCTGAACCTCTCATTTCATTTTAGGTCAGCTTTATCTTACCCTCTCACCTCCTAGCACTATAAAGTGTGACTCCATCTTTGTATTCCAATGGTATTTGGAAGGCTACCAGGTTCCCTTGAAGACATCCCTTCTGCAGGTTGAACAAGCCCAGATCTCTCAGCCTTTCCTACAGAGCATCTGCTCCTGACATCCTGCTGGCCTGTGCTGAACCCACTCCAGCTTAATCTACGTCTTGCACTGGGGAGCCTAAAACTGGATGCAGTATTTTAGAGGGGGTCTAAATACTATCGTGTGCCTACAAGTATTAATACAGTCCAAGATACTGTTGGCCTCCTTGGCTGCCGTGGCCACTGTTGGCTCAGCATTCAGCTTATTGTTCAGCAAGGTCCTCCTGTCCTTGTCAGCACAGCTGCTCTCTGGTCTGCCAGGCCTCAGGCTGCACTGCTGCAGGGAGGGGGGTATTCCATTCCGTGTCCTTCCYGAATTCCATAGAGCTCCAGTTGGCCCTTCCTCGGCCTCACCTAAGGTTCCTCTGGATAATATTCTTCCTGCCCTCAAGCGCATTGACTGATCCCCCCAGTTTGGTGCCGACTGCCAACTCCACTGCTTCTCTCAGCTCAGTGTGTTAAACAGGGCAGCCCCCAGGACAGACTCGCTCCTAGGGCAGTCCACTCACTACTGACTTCCAGGCAGAGTAYGGGCCACTACCCCCTATCCTCCAAGAGGAATCAGGCAACTGGTTCCCCATCTCCCCCCCCATCCAGTTATCTGCACTTGAGGAAAATAACACAAATGCAATTAACTGAAAAGACCTGGTAGACAATTACACAGAGTGACTTGTTTTTCAGGAGAATCAATATTTGTCATCAGCACGTCCTTTACTCCCCACCACAGCAGYGGACTTAAAATGGAAGACCAGTCCATCTATACAGTGTTACTAGTACATAACACATTTTCATCTTTCCAATATTAAAAGATGCTGAAGATAACTTACAGTGCTGCTTAAGTTACACTCCTTAACTATGCCTCCTGATAAATAAGCTTCTGCCCCTCCCCCTCCCAAAATTCCCTTCTCCTTTTAAAGTTTTCAAGTTAAGAAACTCACAGCTGGTCCTTGGGGCTGAGGAGGCATTCCGGGTCTAACGCCCAGCAGGCCCAGAGGGCCCGGAGGACCATGAGGATATCCTCCATCGGGCATTCTGCGACGGTCATCCCAGTGATGCTGCTCCTCCTCCATTCTCCTCCAGTACATGTCCTCTTCATAACGCCTGCAGAGCACGAACCAAAGAGCTCCCTTTACAAAGCAGTTAAATATTTCCACCTGCTCTAGATAATTTTTTAATGTTCTTCACACATGTTCTTCACTAACTCATTCTTATTAGTCATGACCAAATACCAGCAAATTCCACCAAGTAAAATGAATGGTTATTTTGCAAAATCAGCAAAGTCTACGTTCCTCAGAGGGGTTGAATACTARCAAACGAATGACCCAAATCAGAGGCACTATAACAATTTGATTTAAAACAGGACAACACAAAGTTCCTGCAATAGACATTCAAAAGAACCACGCAGAGAAGCAGAGCTGATGTAGACAACCTGGCTGCAGCCTTGTCTCGGTGACAGGACAGCACATATTACCTCATCTCCATCCGCCAGCGTTCCTCCTCTTCTCGCCTTCGCCAGTATTCTTCTTTCTGCATCTGTTTCCTCATTTTCTCTTCTTGAATTTTCCTTGCTCGAATACTGGGCTTTACTTCTACTTGTAAATCTGGGTTTACTTTTTTCTAGTTCAGAAATATAATGAATGAAATGTTGGTTTTCTTTGTGTCATCTAAAGGTTACAGATGTTTTCTGACATGCTTAACAAACACAACTAGTTTACAATAAAATTGAGTAAAAGTTTTAAAATTGCATTGAATGAATAGCTGAAGAAAAAGTCAGCATCAAATATTTCAGAATTAAGAAATAACAAATATAAATATTTACAAATAACCTAAAAGTCCTCTTCACCTGTATCAGAACAAAGTAACTTAAAATAATATGATGCATAAAATGTTAAGTAGTTTGCTGTTAATTCTGTAGCAGAAAACCTACTCCATAGCCTGAATAAACTTGTTAGTTTAATTCCAAGGTACTTTCTAATGCCCCGTTCCTCAAGGATCCCCTGCACGTGGGCAGAAATAAGAGTTACCAAATAAATTTCTCTGTCAATATTCTCTCTTCTTTTATTCTTTTTGTCATTGGACAGGGCTCCTACACCTTCTGTGACCACAGAAAATTCTTACTATGCAATCTTACAATAATCAAAACGTGCACTGAATGGTGGTACAGCTGCCTCTCCAATCATGACTGATAAAACACTCAACAGGTGGTTGGAAAACGTTTCCACAGAGGGCCAGGGTGGTCCCTCCCAAAAACTATGGGCAGCAGTATTTCATACTACTGTCATTCATGGTAGAAGACATAGAAGAACATACGGTTACTTGAATATGCTCTACCACATTGTAATGTTGCAAAGAGCAATGTTCAAAACATTTAAATAAAAAATAAACTAGTTCCACAGTCAGTATTACTTATTTAAAAACTATATTCCTAAAATAATAAAATAAAATCATCTAGTAGGTAAACATTTCTCTTTTTTTTTTTAATAAACATACTGTATAGCTAACATTGTTTTTTAATAATCTTTAAATGCAAGACAAAAGTACATTCAGGTGACATCTGGAAGTTTTTCAGATACATTTTCAGATACATTAGTATTTCTACTAACTTTATACTGCAGTCTGTGCCGCCTCCCTTTTAAATGCATCTCCTTGGCATTAGGATCATTAAAACTGCATTCACAAAGTTTGCAGTGGAAGCGGATCACCTTTCCTTCATCATTTCGTACCTGCAAAAATAAAGTGAACACATTTGGCTTGTTTTTAATTTTTTCTTCAAACATTTTCCTTCCTTTCCTTCCAAGCAAACTAATTACTCTGAATAAAGTCTACTCATCTRAAAAAAACACATCAAACACTTCAAATTAGAACTTCCAGTGCTAGCAGAGACCCTGCTGTGGCAGGTTAAGTTCCATCCCAATGAGTGCACAACTGTAAGCTGTAACATGAACATACTGAATTACAGCTAACSCTTAGAAAACTGGAAATGCTGAAAAATTTACATCAGATTCTGATACTCCAGACTTCATCGCCATGTTTCAAAACACCCAAATGAGGCCCGATGTGCCTCATCGAGCTCAGAAGAAACACAGAGAACATAAAAAAACACGCATATGCACTTGTCTTTGAAGGGTCATCACCTAACTTGTAATCCTGATGAACAATGTTTCACTAAACTAGTTATAAAATAATACACATTTTCATATCAATACCTCCTCTACATAGTCATGGCCTACTGGCTGGACATCACTCTGCAAGGCAGCCAGAGTTGTGGGAGTCACTGGTTCAGACGCTGTCTCTGGCTTTGCTTCCTGCGTTTGCACGGCAGCAGCGGGAGCTGCTTTAACAGTCTCAGYTGATTTCATTTCTTCCAGTTTACTTCCTGTTGTCTGAAGTTTATTACCACCTACAAATCCAAGATTTTCAATTGTGAATTTTCATTAAATGACAATATGATGGTATATAACAGGCACTCTGAAAACCTTAGGTACAAATACTAATGTTATGGCTAAAACACTACTTTACTTCTAAAGCTTGGTACAATTTAAACACATTCAAACACATTTAAACCGTTTAAAATTTCCTACATTCAAATTAAACACTTAATACTGCTCCTTGATTTTAGCAAGAAAGAAAATCACTGCTTTATGCACTTGTGATTTTTATCATTTCGACASAACTGACAGGAAACAACTCAGAATAGATATTTTAATTATTTCCTGTTTGAATATCAGATTTCTTTTTGGAAGTGGATCCAAAAAAGTACTTCAGAGACATACAGTGTTTGCATTTGCAAAGCTCCTACATCTCCAGTGTCGCAAATGCACAGGTTTTCCTTCAAGAGCCTAACAGCTTGTTTTGAAACAGCTGCTTCCCATCCCTAGATGTCTGTTATGTTCCCTTCTAAAGTTCCCTGTTGTAAGGATGTTTCAGCTGCCCAGTCACCAACTGCCAGCAGTCTGCTTTAACAGGTCAGGCTGTAAAATGAAATTGCAGCCAACTGGAGTGTAATCTGCAGTACTACAGAAGCTACTGCGTAAGAAAGAGATTCTCTTTTGAAGCATGGAGAAGCCTGCCAGAGAGGCCAGACAGAGAGAGAGGAGAAAACAAATGAAAGAACAGGGCAGAAAACCCCAGTTGTGAAGTAAAGCTGCTATACACATGCTTATTTTCAAAAGCTATCAGTACTCCTCTTAAACATACAAATCATTCATGCATAAAGTTAGCTAAACACATTTGTATTTGCTGCACTAAGATCTTAAGGTTATAGAATAGGTTAGGTTTCAAAATAAAGACTGACTTCTGTACTTGCCAACAAAGTTTATTTTCGGTGTAGATATTTTCTTTACAGGTATATTAGCAGCAGTTGAAGTTGTTTTGTTGTTGGACGCTGTGTTAAGTGGTGTGTTTGTCGTGGGAGTAAGAATTTTCACCGCAGAGGATGCCACAGAGGAGTTCACAGTACTGCTGCTAGTTGTTATACTTGAAGCAGAGGCAGTTGGTTTGGAAGCAGATGTAGATGTTGAGGAAGTAGCCTGGGTAACTACATTTGGTTCTGTTGAAGGAATGGGTTTGCCAAGTTTTGTGTGCAATTTTACTACCTGTAGGAATAAAGAGATATTCGTAATAAGATCTCCCTAAACAAGTATGAAAATTACTTGTTAAACACTATGGACATGGAACACACCAATCAGTTCGTTATTGTTTCCTTATAAAGAATGGTCAGGCACAAAAACATGGGTAATACTTTGTCATCTGTTACACAYGAAGAGTTATATAATCTTTGACATTTATTTCAGACAGCTTATTCCCTTTAGAAATTCAGATATTTATGCCAAAAGCAGAGAAGATGAGAACAGAAACCAGTGAACTTCCAATCCAGCAAAACCCAAAGAGTTCTGTTCAAATCATTACAGTGTGAGGGTTTTGTTGCCCAGCTGCCCTTTTCTCACACTCCAAAAAGCAGTGTGTTAAACTACTTAGGTTCCAATATAACAACATTGGATGAATCAAATGATCGAATGAAGCATGCAAAATCAAAATTAAAGATTGTGATAGGTATGAAAGTAGTGATAAATAAAAATACAAATCTGCTAAAACATGCTCTTAATGCAACACATGCACACAGTCATAGTAAGTACACGAATGTATACATAGTCTTAGACTGTTCTGTTTCCACCTATAACACAGGCTTCTTACTCAAGCAACACCCTGAATTTAAGTTTAAGCAAATCTTCAAAAGAACGTTTTAATTAAAAGTCACAAGATTTTTCCAAGTGTACAACAGCAACAATGGAGTCCTTTGTGATTTCATTTTTATGAGATGACAACCTAAATTACCAGGTCTTAGCAACTATCTTAGAGAAGAGAAAGCTATATTCATGTGTACTGGGATAATAATGTACTATTATAACTTACAAATAGAAGTTTAATAATACACATATGGAATTACTAGGCACTAACCCAAGAACTAATGGCTGCACTTATTTGTGAAAGAAAGAGCACCAGGCATGGTGTATAATTTAGTGTCGCTCAACACAAAAGTGAGATGTGGCCTGAGCTTGTTGGTAACACAACTGCAGAGCACACGGCCTAATTCTTCTGTCCCTTGGCACTGACTCAGCCTAGAATGGTCCAGAGTGCTCCAAGAGCTTCACAGTACTGGATGAATCATCAAGAAAGCACTTAAAAAGAAGTGACAAGTATGCTACTTGTATGCTATACTTGTCTTCATCTTATTCTATGCTTACCTGCTACAATTTTCATACTTTCCTTAATACATCTTCCACAGTRCCCAAGAAATACTTCCCCTTCCCTGAGAGTCCTCCTAATAGTTAGCTTAGATGTAAGTTTGGAACAAAAAGAAGAATATTCCCTAACAAAATAATATCAAATACATTGTTTCTGTGAATTTTCTCTGCTCTGCAGGGAAAAAAAAAGAAGCATGTATATAAAGCACTTACTTTCTGATGCTTGGCTCCACGGATATGGGCAGCATAAGCATCTGCTCCTGTACAAGACACGTCACAAAGTTCACAGCGCAACTGATTCTGAGTTCCTCGAGCAGAAGTGCTGCTGTTATTGGTGTTCTGGGAAGCTTTTAATGCCGCTTCTTTCTTTTTGTGTTTCTGGCCTTCCAAGTGTTCTTTATAAGTCTGTTTTAAACACGAGAAAAACACATACACAGTAAGCTGCCTTTGTACTGTTTGTCTCTCATCATACAAATCATGCAATGTAGAACATAGGTTAAAACACATGCTTTGTATAAGTGCTTCCTACAGTGAACATTTATTCTATATATTACGCTCTAAGGCGTATGCAGACCACTTGCAAGACCMAGAAATTTTCTCCTCCTTTATCAAAACTCCATTTATCCAGGTAATAAGGTGTGGATATTCTTCCTGCTTTACCATTTCCTCARTCCTGCATCTCAGTTGCAGTTTCCTGCATTGTGCTGGATTATTCCTGATTTTGAATTTTCAACAGACTTCAAGGCCATAGTAATTAGGTGCATCACAAAAGAGATATTTAAAAAAAAGTTCAAAACAAGGTAGTGCATAAATAAAGCCATGTTGAAATGGATATGCAAAAGTTGAGATTTGCCCCTATACCAACCACAGCTACATGGAGAGCAGAGAGTGGAAGTAATAACAGCTTTACCTAAAGAATAAGAACAGTTTTGGCCAAAGAATCTTAAGAACACTTTGTACGAACTGATACCCACTTTTTACACACTTGTATTCACTGCAAAATTAAACTGAGATGCTGGAATACACCGAATAGCAAAGCAAATAAATTTGCAGGGTTACCACTCAAAGGGCATATAACCCTGTAGCTCTGAACAAAACATTTTCTTGATAGGAAGGAAGGTTGTTACGATAAAGAGCAAATCACATGCCAGCTTTAGATTATTTCTGGAGTCCAAAGTACTGAGCCCAGAGCTGAGGCTTCTTTGAGTTAAAGGGATGCATCTTTTTGTCTTGTAATATTTATTAAGTCTTTCTATAACAGCACATCTTTTCCTTTAGCTATTTCTTTTACTAAAGAACAAAATCAGATCTTTAAAAATAACCCATGGTCTTAAGATATTTCTTTTAGCACAGGAAATGAAGATTAACGCTTATTGCAGAACATTATGTAACACAGGTACCTGTGGTCCAGCACAGCTGATCTTACAAACATCACAGTAGTGGATCTGGGGTGGTTTGGGAGGTTGTTTTGGTTTCAGTTGCTTATTTTGGAATGGTGCCTTTTTAGTAAAGGTGGTCCCTGTCCAAGCGGCTGTTGCAGCAGCAGCAGCAGCTGCTGCYGCCGCCTGTTTCTGTTGTTGCTGCTGCTGCTGGTAATAGGATGATGCAGCCGAATAGACTGCAGCTTCATAGCCGGAATAAGAGGTACCTCAAAGATCAAAACAAAATAAATGTTACACCACTGTACATTACRTATCGATTACATAATACACTCATGACAAGCATGCTGCATAATAGAGTTGGGGGAGGGGCAGGATATAAACAATTTATTGTGATCTTTTTGTGTAGCCTTAGTTTTTCTATATSTTTCAAAGTACAACTAATATAGCATACCAGGAATATGTTTCATCTTAGACATATCTTTGTGGACATAGAGTTATGCATTTAGACATATCAAAGCTTCCCTACTGAATATATGAAATTTCCTAAGACATCTGGTGAGACCAAGTATGATGTTAGTTGATTTTTTTTTAAAACACATTTATTAAAGGCCACTTGACGTTAACAGTCTTTTAGAACCATACTGGGTGTGCAAGCTCTAAACTGAAGACTCAGAAAAACTCATCTAGGAAAAGGAAAGACAACCTTTTATTAAAGACAAAACTTGGTAGTGGTTATTATATCCTACTCCTCTGATTTAAATTGTTTTAGTGCAAAGCAGCTGCTTGCTCACTACAACCTCAGCAGCACACCTTGACTACGCACTCCTTGATTTCTATTATCAAAGTTGAATAAATCAAGGAAACTGGGCTTTCATACCTTTGAGCCACTTTTCCCATAAACTTTCTACATCTACTGGTTCAACTATTTAATCCTCTGCTCAGGTTCTGTTTCAAGGAAGTCTTAAAATCCCTTTTTAAACAGAAAACAAAACAAAACAAAAAGTTCATGGTAGTTGTAATATGCCAGCTGATAACCATCTGGCCATACAGCTAATTTTTTTTTTTTTTTTAAATTCTAACCAGGTTTTCAGTTTCTGATGTTTGAAGGAAAGTTCTTTCCCTTCTTCTCCCATTTGGAGTCAAAGCAACCAAACTTCTAAGATTTACTGGAGGAGGTGGATTGGTCCTCCCCATCCTTGCAACTGCTGTTTGATGATCCCTTCCAATCTCACTAAGCTAGATTTGTGTATCCTTTTTTTTCTATCCACCATCTCTTCTTCAGTCCCTTATTAGAAGTTGTGAAACACTGTGCATGTCACATATACTTTGTATATTCACACATGTGATAATAGGCACATAAAAATGCACACAAGCATCTTTCACAGATGTACCAAAATAGTCTGCTAATGTAATGATTCAAATGGCTGAGTACTTCTCAGKAGACTATGATGTAATTGAGCACAAACCACTAAAACGTTGAGTGTTTAGGTTCTCTCCCCAATAACTGCAAAGGTCCCAGCAACATAATAGGCAAAATTCTTACCAGAGTAAGTAACTGCTGTTGTACTGTACGTTGCACTTTGAGTATAGGATGGAACAACAGTAGCTGCAGCTGCTACTGGCTGYACAGTAGAGGATACTGGATAAATAGAAAATGTAGTTGTAGCCGGACTTGGAGTCGCAGGTTTTATAGCTGTCACTTGCCGTGTTTGCTGGGCTTGAGTATACTGAGTCGCCCCTTGGCTATATCCTGCTTTTGGAGCTAATTGAGATATAAAGATGTACAAAAACAAGTATGTTTTAGCTGAGAAAGTGTGAACCTTATTAAGTGGTATTTAATGACATGCTGGGAATTGAATATGTAACAAACAAGGTCTTTTCTTTTTATAGTAATGGTTATGTTTCCCACAGGTATATATCATACTAAATTTTTAATCACATCACAGCTGGCACTGACTGCTCCCCAGTCCTTTTTTACATTATCTAGTCATTTCATCAGACAACCTGATCAATCATTTTACTAAAAGAGACTGCATATTTAAACTCTGCTAACAATTCTAACCAAACTATCATCTGAATCCTCCACAGACCTATTTTCAACCTAGTCCAGCAATCTTTTTTAGGCAAATTAACAAAGTCAAGTTTGCATGGAAATATGTTCTGTCTGTATTGTATAATATTCCAAAACTCAAGAGATTGCAARTGTCATGCAAACATTTCTCTGATTTTTACGTTCTAGGTTTTTTGGGTTTTTTCTCCACATGCTGTTATGGATTACGTGATAAAACTGAGATAAAAAAACCATGTGAAATATAAAAAGACAAAGTTTCAAAGGTGTAAGAGCAATACACTGCTTGCAGCATGACAGGAGTTTGAGGCTTACCACCCACCTGTCTGGTAGTAGGATTCGGCTACGGAAGGCTGCGGCTGGGCGGCAGCGGCCACGGCCGCAGCAGTTGCTGTTGGCTGTTGATAGTACTGTTTGCTGTCATAAGCTACAGCTGGGGCAGTAGATCGAACATACGAATAGGAATCCTAGAAATAAATAATAAAAAAAAGTTAACAAAAAACATACTTGACACTACATTTAAGCCAGTGAATGTAGGAAGACACCCAAACTACCACTGCCTCTCTTCTCACGGCCTTCTATGATTCCACCTCCTCCTCTTCTATGGGCTCCACAACTGGGCAGAGGAAAGAAACTTGGCTTAACCTGTCAGTTCAGTGATTGCTGTTTTCGAGCATGGTTAATTTTCCATCGCCTCATCATGCAGAACTGACCYCTCCAGAGGCTTACAGTGAACACTGGATGCTAGATCCACAACAAAGGGAAAGTGTCAGCAGAGCTCAGCGTGAGAATGAGAGAGACAAACAGCTCCCTTTCGTAGTCGCCATAACCACACAAGATTTTAAGTAGTGAGCTCACGAGTGTGTTCAGCCACAGAAGAGATGGTTGTTCCTCTCCTGTGCAAAACTCCTATCCTCTTTTACTTGATACTAGAATTCCTGTGACAGCCAGTGCTCTGATGAAGGAACTATTTCCATCTCCCATCAGCAATTATTATTAGAATAGGGTTTTCAGTTTAAACAATTCCATGACAGCCCTGCACGCCACTTGAACATCTGGGCTAGCATAGAGGAGACAGTTCTACCCCTTCCAACAGCAATTCCCAGAATCACTCTGAGGTAAACCTTAGTTCACCATGTATTGTAATAATGTCTATATCTTAGATCCTTCAGTACTGCTGCTACTAATCTTCTATCTGGGCYATACAATGTTGCCGTCACTTCACACTTTCTATCAGTTTCAGGTATTGAGCAGCCTGAATTTGTCTCAAACCATGATTCACGAAAAAAGATAATATAAATACCACACCATCCTACTCAAAAAGCCTCCCCTTTTAACAAGATATACTTTAAAAGTCCAATGACACAAATAAGGTTTTTTTAAAACACTCACCTGGTAATTCTGTGTAGTGACAGGAGGCGGTGGTGGGGGAGCTTCTTGTTGCCGCTGCGTATAACCATAATCTGTAGCTGTGTGTGCTGTAGGGTAACCTCCGTAGGCAGCAGCTGTTGCAGCAGCTGCAACAGCTACCGGCGCAGGCCGGGCGACTGCAACTGTCGCCGCCGCGGGAGCGTAGGCCGCAGTGACGGTGTGCGCAGCGACGGGGGCCTGGTGGACAGTGTAGCTGGCAACTGTGGTCGGATGGGAATAGGCTACCCCCGAAGCTGGCTGCTGGCTATATTGGGAAAGAACAGTAGGCAAATAATTAGATTGATCCAACATACTGCGATAACGCCTAAACATATCAAACCCTCAACCTGATTATCACTTGCCAGTCCTACAATGTAGCTGGAAGAGCTATCTATTTATGGCTATACTTTAAGGGCTTTTATTACCAGCCCCATTTAAAAAGGCTGTGTCATTTTGAAGTTTCTGTGCATAAAGATATACCAAGCGAAGGGGGAGGGCTTTCTTTTAAGTGAGATCTTTATTTTAAAGCAATGGAACAAAAACGTTTTATTTAAAGTAACACAACAGTCTTAATTTGCTGGGCTTTTCTTGATGAGCATGTCTAAGTGCTTCAATAGTTCTTTGATAAAACTGACTTGTCAAATAAAATAAAGGGCTGCTTTTCTCTGAAAGCTCATTACTGACCTGCTGCGCTTGCACGATGTTTTTGAATAAACTATTAAGGTAATGAGATTTGAAAGACTCCCATGAAAATTAGCTCACAACTTCTGGCAGAGACACTTTTTTAATTTTTTTTTCATTATTTATTTTTTAAATCTCCAATAAGAGGCTTTTCCCACAAAAATTTGCACTAGCATAAATTGGCCTCACTCATACAGGAGTTCATTGCTCCACAACAGAAAGCATCAGAAAAAGAGCCAGTCAGCTCAAGGAAGAGGACTGTTACCACCGCCCTGGCAATCTTCCCTGCAGAGTGCAATGTTCTTTCTGACATAACCACCAGAAACAGCAACATTTTACTGCAGATATGACGCTCACGAAAGATGTCTCCATGACTCTTCTACTTGTATGTCTCCTATTTTTATCTGAATTTGTCATTGTGAATAGAGAAAAGTCCATTAACTTAAATATACCAGAAAAGACATTCTAACATTAGAAATGCACAGACAAAAATTTATAACTGTCAGACTTACATACCTATACTTCATCTTTTCTCTTATCTTAAACCCTTGGCTTATGATTTCTCAAGAGACCACCTGCACTCCATTCAAATTCAACTCAGACTCTTTGCAGAGACTTTAACAGGATTCCTACTTAACCAGTCTCCTACTTGACACACAGATAGTTTCTGTTCTGTCAATTTAAGGTAGGAAATTCAATTCCCCAAAAAGAAAAGTCAGGAAGAGTTGATGGTAAAAGTGAACAATAAACCATTAGGCTGCAATAGCTACATATTTAATAGCACAGAAATGTACAATATTCTCACAGAATCAGAGACATCTACTGAAAACATATTAAAATGAGAGGAGACAGCCTTAAATAATAGCTCAGACTGCAGCTGAACGTATCTAATCATCCAATTCTCTTAAAAAGGACAATCTTACTCTACGTTCGCTCACGCTCTTGCCTCCTCCCATACACCAGCCTTCCAATGGCACCCCGATCTGTCTCACTGTTGGCTCTGGAGCCTGTCAGGTTATGCTGTGCATTTAACCCGTTAATGTGGCAGACAGCTGTGCAGAATTTGGAGGAGGCTCATTTACTAACATTAAACATTAATCACACTGGAGTTCAGCACGCTCACAAACTGGGCTGGTGTGTGCCAGAATCAGCACGAGGGGCACATCTGGGAGCGGGGAGAAAGAAGAGGACAGCRGCAGGAGGCATTGATGAGGTTCAGCTTTCACAAAGCCATGATAAAGTGAATAGTACAAAACATTCTACAGTGATTACAATGCCACTCAGTACATCAATAAATTGCTTTTGTTTTCAGAAGGTATAATTAAAACTACCCAATAGTTTTCAGTATTTTGCATTGTAATAAGAGTGTGATCATTATCACCAAGATCCTAACAAGATTCTCTTAAAGTTTCATTTCTTTCGAACTATTTTGCATTAAATTCCTTATCATGGTAGAGAATTAACAGCCCCAATCATTTGATTTCTAAGGCTAATATAATTCTACCACCATGTTTACTTTAGCAAACCTGTTCCCCTTGCTTCTGCAACATCATGCAGAGCTAGTGATCGAGTTTGCAAGATTACATGGAAAATATTGATTGCATCTTAGTTTTCAGAATTATTATGTTATAGAAATGCTTATAAAAAAATTCTACATTCATGAGGTTCTTTTTCTCCCTACAGTCTCACTGAAAAAATTCCATCACTAGGACAACTTGACATATTCATGTAATTATTTTAAACTAATATATTTTTGCATCAGCTTTATTATTTAACTCACAAGTTTTAATCCTTATTTGGTGCTTAGTGCCTCATCACCTTTGCCCATATCAACTTATCTCCCCCCAGACTCCTYTGTCAGGCTCCCTACTCTCTGTCTTTCTTGCCCAGTCAGTAGTATCCGCTCTTTCACCATCTTTCTACCCACCTTACTACTTCCAACTCTTCTTTGTTGAACATGTACGACAAGAACTACTTGCAAGATGAAGTATTAGAAGCAGCATCTGACCCTCCTACACACTTCTTTCTCTCCAGTCCAGTTTCCTCAGAGCAGTCTTACTGTAAAGCTACCTCCATACTGACAATACTTCCTTGGCAATAAATATCATGACATGATGTACTAAGGAAAATACTAAGGGCAGACTCATGACCAATCCCCAGGGAACTCCACTGGCAGTTTTTCCCATCTGATAAATACTCTGACTCTATTAACCACCTCTAGCCAGCTGTTACTCTACAATTCTTCTACTAATTTCTATCTTAAAATTTTCTACTTTTTTTCCATACCGTACCACATTAAGTATTCCATCTTAGTCCAGACAAATAAAACTACAAAAGATTCTGGCACGTGATCAAGTATCAGAGTAACAATGATTTACAATCATATGCCAGCTGAGCTATGCTAACAGTCTATGCGTGTGTCCTCATCTCAGCAAAGAAAGTAACTCAGTTTAGCTTCATCTCTCAACACAGCAGGCAAAAAGAGTTGAAATTACTCTGCACATTCTAGGGACTAATCGCACACAAGGAGCAATTACCGYAGCACCGCAGGCACGCAAGAACACACTGACCTGACAACCTGATCAGTTTTCTCTGCAGGTCATTTTATTGTCTCTTCAAAAAACAATTTTAATGTGCTTATTAGCACCTCCGAGTTTAAGGAGTTCCAGTTCCTTTATGTGAAAGGTTGCTCGCTCCAACTAGTCTCACTAGTTCCACTAGGTCCAGTTTAAAACCACAGAGTAAGTTAGGTTGAAACGGGTCTTCGGAGGTCAGCCAGCCTAATCCCACATGCAAAGAACAGTCAACTGATGTTAGATTAGACCTCTCAGGGCCCTGGCTAGTCAGGTCTTCAGCATCTCCAAGAACGGAAATTCTGTCACCTCTCTACACACTCCAAATCATTCTTCAGGCACTCTCACTGTGAAGACTTTTTACTTAGCTCATTAAACCTACAATTTCAAATTAATTCTAGACCTGCATTTATTTCCTTAAAGCCAACTCGGTTTTTGACCACTCAATTCATATGACAACTTCATATCTTCTACTATTCTACATGCTGCCTTCAAGTGTTCGACTCCAGGTTACACAGATGTGTTTTAGTCGCCCAGCCTCTTAGTTGATTTCTTCAGTCTCTCCCTACCTCCACTTCTCCATTTTTTTTGCCTCGTCCTCTCAAGTAACACTGCCTCTATTTAATCATTTTTTATTCTGGTATATCCCTAGCTTGCCTTCTCTTCCACATCCTACCTAAGGAAGCTCAGGAGCAAGAGGATAAATTCTTTACTCATAATTACTCKAGTGCAGTGCCACATATTATTAAATACCATTATACTATTAAACATACCTTGATAAGATGACTGCAGTCAACTCCTTTGCGCACATAAAACTTCACACTTCACAACCTGAACATAGGACTAAGACCACAGCTACTTTCATTGTGTCAACGTTTAATAGTTGTGTACATTCACAATTACGACTTTCATGAASAAGCTATGAAGATCTACCCAATTCTACACTGCAAGAACAGAGCAGTGTTTTAGAACAGTGTAAAGAATAACTATATTAAAAAGTGTAATTCCAAGCAGATATTTAGCCTGGTGAATTCCAACCTGAACACTTACAAGAGATCTTTGCCAAGGAAACTGTAACCCTGTTTTTTGATAAACTTTGACATATATGACTATATTTTGAAATAGTTTTGATGGACTCCAAAAATGAAAAAATCTTGGCAGAATGCTTAAAATTATTTTAAGTCAGCAGTTGGCTAGAATGCAGAAGCTGCTGATCACCAGCTATTATTGAAGCACTAGTGTCCACTTAGCAAATCTTTGTTCTCTATTTTCTAAAATYCACAAGTTTGTCCAATTCAAATAGTCACATAAAATGTTTGGTATAGTATTGGATGGGTAACGTTTTTTCACAAAAGAAGGTGTAGAAGCAAATTTGTGTAATACTTATATTCGGTATATTAGTCACTTTTAAATATTAGCACTGATAATTTCCCACAAGTTATCAGCCCAAGAATTACGAAGAATAAAGAGCACTTCTTTTCGAGAAATAAATAATGGATTCTCCTCTAGAGGTCCCCTGCTTTCCTCCTTCATTTCCAGATGTTGGTGTTTCCTATTAACAAAGTACTGAGACTGTCTTTGTAAAAACAAAGAAACAAAAAATCATTAAGAAGGTTAATTGAAATCAGAAAGTTTTACTCAAAGTTAACAAGAGCAAGCAAATGTAAAACKGACATAATTCTGTGTAGCYAGGTAACTCCTTCAGAAGACTTGAGACTATAAGATGCATTATTTCTTACAGTTAGCCCATTTGTTGAGTAGGAAAGGCACTGAAAAACCTAGTAAGGTACATGTAACAATCACTACCAAAGGAATCCATTTGCAGAAAAAATGCAGTCTATGTCCATGAGGATACATAGCATGGGAGAGGTATTTGTACAGCATCTGACACAACATCTAAAAGCTTTTCACATTGACTAGAATAATTTTAAAAGTGCATTTCATACACACATAAACCCAAGGCATACAAAACAACAGACCTCAAGCATATGTCTATTTAAAGCCAACAGAA